CTTCAGTACAGTTTTGGATCTGGATATGATCTGGTCTGAATCTGTAATCTAAAATGTGATCATCTTTGGATCCATCTTGCTGTGCAAGTGGCCAATGACACAGTTTGCTGATTACAGAGCCTATAGATCAACCTTCACACTTTACACATCTTCAACCTACACAAAGCAAAGTAATGTAAATTGAGGATTTGAGTTTTTGCAAAAATGTAAACTTTTGGGAATAAATATAATATTAATATAATATAATATATTTTATGCCATCCAGAGAGCACATATACATCCAGAGAGTACATTTAACAAACAAGGTCTATAATTCTCTGCTGTGTCTGTCTGTGTGTAGTGAGAGAGTGGAGTTTCTTGCACGTGACTGCATGCCTCAGGATGTTTATGGCTGCTTAAGGCCTGGACTGAATTGTTCACTGTGCCTCACACAGCCTGGTGAGAGATATGAGGAGCAGTGGTACAGAGTGAAAAAGATAAACTAACTGTGTAGTGTTTAATTCAGGGCACTGCATTTTCTATGATTGAGATTTAATTCCTGGAGGAACAAAAGAAGGTGCATTTCCCCTTGATAGGTCTAGTGACAGCAGGTGGAAAGACCTGGGCAGATTTGTGGACGATTGTAACAGAGCTCGCAATTGGAGAGTCACGGAGTGACACTTAAGTCTGAGTTCAGACCAAGAAAGTATCAGAAACTAATTAATAACTAATTAAAGCCAGGAGCAGTGAATGCAACTCTGCATGCTACGGCACCTGAGGTTCTAATTCCCAAACAATATTGTTTCATGAGGAACTCCTGTGAGTTATCTGTTGATTTTTCTTAACAGTAGGTTGATTTTATCAGTGAGGTTTGGGTTGTTTTCTTCCTCTATGAGAGAGAGAGACGGTTTTATGCTTGGACTTGTCTGGAACTGGCCCTAGTATTTGTTATTTTATTATTATTTTATGGTTTACTTTTGTTTTTGCTTTTGTTACAGTGCACTGAGATAAGAAATCTGACAGGTGTGACCCACCGGTGTGCAAAGTGCTTTTCCATGATTATAATGGGCTTTGGAGAAATTCACTTATGTGGGACACTGACCACATTAGATGGTAAGTCCTGAGTCTAAAAGGATTGCAGCGAGTCAATCCAGTCCAAAATGATAAAGAATTGTTTTCCTTTTAAAAATTATGACATTATCTTGCTGTTGATGGAGACTGGAATAGGTTGGTTGCACGTGAGACTCCACTATCAGCAATATCTGGTATGGATGTGTGTGAATGAATGCGTGTGACTGGACTGTGATGGAGTGACGATGTGGACTAAAGTTTTGACTGACTTGATACTGAGAGACTGCATCTACCGTAGGATTAGTAAATGCTGACAAACAATTCACCCAGCCGGTAAGAAAAGGGAGGATGCTTTGTTTTGTTTTGCAGGAGCAGGAGGATAAGAGGGACCAGAGGGGGAGACTGTAGCTTCACATGAGAGTGTGGAGCTGCAGACTTAACCCTCTGGCTGCCAATTTTGAGTTACTGATGTTTGCATTAGGAAAATTGTGTTTTATCGGCTGTGTTTTGATTACGGAATCACATTATTGTTGGGAATGCCAAATGCTACAGTGGAGAAAACCTTTGATATCACTTATGACTGGAATATGTTACTATTGACCATAGCGGGCCACTGTAAAAAGTCAATTAAATTTTATAGAGGAAAATAGCTAGAACCAAAACAATATTTATGAATAGCAAGGGGGAATGGTAGATTTGTCACATTCAAAAGAGAGTTATGTAATAACAAACACTGGTCCACGTGACTGAGGTCTTTTCCTGTTAAAATAGTCAATTATTAAAAGTAGAATGCAACCGACAGGGGCATGTGCTAGGATATGGTACTGCAAAAAGAACAGAAGCAAAATAAAGAAAAGCCATTGTGTTGAACTTTGTTAAATTCAAATTAAAGTGTGCCATTACACTCAGTGAATCAACATGAAATCAAAATATATGCAAAATTTGTATGAAGCACGTGACTGATAACTGTTTTATCCTGAGCTTTTGTTTCCCATAGCACCCACGTGGCCACACCATCAGTTTTTCGCCGCCAAAGGAGGGTAATGTCAAATGGTCGAGGGAGGAATATCATCGAAAAGTGGGAAAGGTAAGCCCCGATAGGGGTTATAACACCATAAATGTCACCTATGGTCAAACTCCTAAACTGTGACACCAAGCATGAAATTCTCCAAAATTTTGAGACAGAGAGGAGTTCTAGATAAACATAATTTAGCAAACCCCATAGGGATTGATGAGTTGAATCTATAATATTTTGAAATAACATGTGGACCGTGTTGATTATGCTTGCTTCCAATGTGAAGAGATTGGCATTCACCTTTATCTACTAAAACGCTGTCAAACCTAAAATGAGGACGTGGGCCCAGCGAGTGAATCTAACTTTAATGTCACAACTAACGCTAGAACAACCAATGACCTGGAGGATGTTTGGAGATGAGTGTGTTAACACTGAGATTTTCTCACAATATCTACAGAAAGCTATTCACAGAACTGACAAACAACATTACAGTTCCTGCATGGTAGACGAGAAATCTAAAGTCCTCATAAAATCTGACACAAACACTGCAAAATCTCCAGTGTTAAATTGACACTAGAAAGTGTCTATATGTGTCCACTCTTTTGAGTGTTAAATTAATACTTTTGACAGTGTTATATTTCTAACAGTAACCTAGTCAATGTTAATGATTAACAATGACTAACACTGAGCAGTAGTGATTTTCTAACCCAACTGCAAATATGACCTGCCAAAAAATGCTAATCATGTCATAATCTCACTATGTGTACATGGAGGTCTTAGTTGAGCCATTAGCATGTTAGCATGCTGTTGGCAAGTTTAAACAATATTTTAGTCCAAAGAAGTTCTGTTTGATTGTCTTGTAATTGATGTGCAGTTTTCTGGGATCTGGACAGTGAATCTGGACAATAAGAAATGTGATGAGTGCAATCAGTCAAAATGATATCTGTATCATCGTTTAATCTGATTGATTAAAAAACGCATTTCGCATTTAGATTACTTCAGACCAACAAATATACTGGTGTTATTTAAACCAAGCTAAGATCACTTAGTCCTGGAGGAGCAAGGAATGTGGAGGAGGCTTTGAAAAAGTGATTCACAGACAGTAAGCGATGTGCATGTCCTGGGCAGGCTTAGCACACGTCTCTGTTAGGAGGAAAAACATGGCTGCAAACATTTAAACCATCTATGTTCTTTCACTGGAATACACTCCTGCATTTGTATAATTCAAACTGAAAAGTCCTTTAGAAACAGAAATCAAAAGCTAATTTGGCCCCATCTTCACGACAGTGTCAACTCGCTCTTTCTTTGCCTTCCAAACCTTTGTATTTTTGAGACACTGTCATGATTCCTCTTCTCATCTCTCTTCCTCTGTCTCTCGCTCTCTCTCGCTCTCTCTCTCTCTCAGACAGCATGCTCTCTCATTACGCGCCACTGAACAACCCATCTATTAGACAGCGCATGACTGATAAAATCCTTTGCAGATCCCATAATATGAAAAAACGCACACACAGGCATGCACACACAGCAGCAGTAGAGCTCTGCATAACACTCCACTTGTCTCGGATGACCAACTAGACACTGTGCCATTACATAAGATATTGCAATTTAGCTTTTTTTTTGCCTTTGTGCATGTAAAAACAAAATTTTTCAGGGTGTCAGAGTCAAGTGTTTTTTTTAGGAAAGATACAAAACATTCATCTGGATAAGTTAACTAATGTTTTCTTATTACTTGGATTTTGCATACTGCTGTTCACATATGTAACATGTACAAGCTAAATCCAGCATTCATGACAGTTTTTCATTTGAGTGTATTAGACTAAGTTAGTGTTGGGGATTAATCAAACTTTGAAGGCATTAGCTTTTGTTTCCTCTCTGTCTCGTTGTTTCTGATTAGCCCCAGCTGTGTTTCCCTCCTGTTTCCTGTCCCTGTGTGTATTTAGTTCTTCTCCTCAGTGTGTTGTTGGCCCATCTGCCTGTCTTCTCTTGTGTTTCCAAGTTTCAGGTTTTCCAGTCTTTGTGTTTTCCTCGATATATCTGGTGTTTAGGTGTTTCTGCTTTTGTTTTGTTAGTTTAGTTTAGTTTACCTCAGTCTTCCCTTGCCTTTTGTTTATAGTTGTGTGTAGCCCTAAATAAAGGCTTGTTTTTTGTTAATATTCACATCCATCTCTCTCATCTCCACACACAGCTCATCTTCACCTCTGAGAATCTCTTCCCTGTCTAATATGTGTTTCTTAACTTAACCATGTTACTGACCTGCTCCAATCCATCTATTTAGTTGCAGAATTTTCCACAATATTTCTTTTTTAGTATAGCTTATTTTTCCAGCCTCTTTTTGCAACAATCTGTGAATAGACTTAAGTTCACACAGTCAGTTACAGAGTAAAAGACTGGGTGAACTTAACAGACTCTGTGATACCAAAACCTATAGTTTTTCTCTGACCTCCCACCCTCCATCCCTCCCTTCTGCCTGCTACACCTGAACCTTTGACTGACACTTGGATTCATTTCCTCATTCATAAAGTCCCCAATTTCAATTACTTTTATATTTTGCGTACTTGACGTGAACATTTTTACAGTCACCAGTGTAAAAGGACTGCAGACAGCAATAACATCACAGATTTATAATCAGCTCTGAATTAAATTTATAGTCCACGCATTGACATTGTGGACAACAGCTATGCATGTTCAAGATGATATTACATTAGTAAATTTACTTGCTTCATTTTTCAGTGTACTCATATTCAGTAAATAAAATAGCTTGTTTATTATTAATGCATTTAAAGGATTTTTTTCTGCATCTGACATAAACACATGATCTTGCTTAATCAGAGTATGTTTACACACTGATTAACCTATACAGTATACAGTGTACGTGTTGCACGTGCTTTATGGTAACCTGAACCTGAAAAAAATACAAACAAAAAAACAAACTTACCATTGGCTACGTTGGTGCGTTAAATTGCGAAGATCTGGTCTCATCTTCCCGCTATCCTGCTCCCTCCATATCCATGTAGAAGATCGATGTGCAAACAGTGAGGTGAGTTTGCTGTAATCCAGGTGTAGTTAAGGGTGTTACGATTACTGGAATTTCTCAAGCCGGCTCCTCCTTCAGCTCGGCGGACGCTCCTGGCACAGCGCTGCCCTGCAGCGGCATCGTTCACGTCAAGATTCCATCTGCGAGGCGGAGCAGATCAGAGACAAGATTCATCTGCCTTTACATCTTTTTGTAACCACGAATGTTGGCGGTGAGATATAAGACGATCATGAAAACAGTTGTTTTTTTTAAAAAAAAATATGTAATGATTATTTAAATAAATAATGATGAATCTTAAAGCAGCAATGGCACTGGCGGCACATATTATAAAGAGGCACTAATACAGCGTCCTAATGTTTTCTTCTGCCTAAAAACGTGGCGATTACAATGACGGGACTGTACGTGTTTGCATGCATGTGTGCTCATGCTGTGATTATTCATACACAATTTATTTGTTACCACAGCCGAAGCCTTCCATGCGCAAAAAAAAACAAAAACAAAAAACAGATAAGATGTAATATTTGAGGTGGTTATTTGATGAAAAGAAAATACCGGGTTTACCTGCAGTATTATCTTCTCCGCTGAGCTGGGCAGAATCGAGACCCTCCACAATCCAGGTCAGTGAAGATAGCGGTTCGGCTCCATTCGCCTGCAACGATGCGCCGCATGTGACGTGGAGAGCCTAGGCGGGGAAGAGCCGGTGAAAAAACAAAAGTGCAGGCGGAGGAAGACGTTATGGTGTTATCATCCATAAACTCATAATCAACAGCTTCCGATACAGCTAATACGTGTGTAACGTGATGGCGGATGCGGTGTCAGGTAGCCTTTATTGATATAACAAGAAACTATTGTACACGTACAACAAAACGTGACACCACCCCCACCAATATTTAGAACAACGCAGGCACTGCCTCAGCTTCTGTTTTCGTGTTCCTCATAGTTTGCTTTTCAATTCAATTTCAATTCAATTTTATTTATATAGCGCCAAATCACAACAAAAGTCGCCTCAAGGCGCTTTGTTCTTTAGTCTTTCTCTCTGCACTGTCTGCTTGCTTTGGATGATTCCAAGTATTTGAATTCATCTACACTCTTAGAAAGGATGTGTTAAAACACTACATAGTGTGTTAAATTTTAACATGTGCTGCATCTGCTCAGGGACAATGCATGTTGTGTCAGTTTTTCATGTGTCTGCTCTTTTAACTTTCATCTCTTTTGTGGGATTAGATTAAATCAAATCAATTTATTTATATAGCACTTTTCACAGGATAAAAACCACAAAGTGCTTCACGGTAATATAAAGCAGAAATACATAAAATACATTAATAATCAAACATACAGCACAAATCTAATTAAAAGCCAATCTAAATAAATGAGTCTTAAACTGCTTTTTAAAAGAATAAATACAGTCAAGGCAACGTAATGATGGAGGGAGAACATTCCACAACCTGGGGGCCACCGCTCTAGAAGATCTATCACCTCTAGTCTTAAAACGAGTTCGTGGGACTACCAACAGCCTTTGATTAGATGATCTCAGGCTGCGAGAGGGAGCGTGGGGTTCTAAAAGATCAGAAATGTAGTCAGGGGCATCACACTTCAAAGCTTTAAAAGTCAGTATCAAGATTTTAAAATGAATTCTAAAATGTACCGGAAGCCAGTGTAATGAACGTAACACTGGTGTAATGTGCTCTCTTTTTCGTGTCTTAGTTAAAAGCCTTGCAGCAGCATTCTGGACTAACTGGAGACGGTCAATATTCCTCTTGCTCAAACACAGAAAAAGGCTGTTACAATAATCTAAGCGAGATGAAATAAAAGCGTGAATAACCATTTCTAACTCAGATTTAGACAGCAAAGTTCGCAGTTTGGAGATGTTTCTTAGCTGAAAAAGGCAATTCCTAATCAACTGGCGAGAGTGTTGTTCTAGGGACATGGCAGAATCAACGATCACACCAAGGTACCTGAGGCTCAGGTGAACAGATGAGCCAAGAGAACCAAGATGCTGTTTGATTAGAGATATCTGGTTGTCGGGGGCATAATTAATGTTTCTGACTTCTCAGAGTTCAACTGTAAGTAGTTGTCAACAAGCCACTGTTCAATGGAAGCTAAACATTTAATTAAAGAGGACAGTTTATGGACTTCCATCGGCTGATAAGACACCTCAGGGACCTGAATAATTATAAGTCCTAGAGGTAACATGTACAAAAGAAAAAGAACAGGACCCAGAACTGAACCCTGTGGTACCCCACATGTCAGATCCTTAGACAAAAACACTAAAAGATCTGTTGGAGAGGTACGATTGAAACCACTCCAGAGCCAGACCGGACACACCGACTATGTCCCGGAGCCTGTTAATCAGGATGGTATGGTCAATGGTGTCAAAGGCAGATGTCAAGTCCAACAAAACCATGACTGAGGATGCTCCTGAGTCAGCTGACATCATAATGTCACTAGAGACTTTAAGTAATGCGGTTTCTGTTGAGTGACTTTTACGGAAACCTGACTGAAATTTGTCATGCATATCATGTTTTTCTAAAAAAGTGGTAAGTTGATCTGCAACTACTTTTTCCAGAATTTTCGATAATAATGGAAGCTTAGAGATAGGCCTATAATTCTTAAGCTGAGTTGGATCCAAACGGATCTTTTTTAACACACAAAGATGTGTTATTTTGATGCAAAGATCTGATAAAATGTGTTTTAGTGTTGTTAAAACATGTAAATTTCAGTTTGTGAAAAAGGAGAAAACGTGTACATTTTTCAGTGTTAAAGTATTAAAATACATATTATCAATTACTTAATAAACAACACTTTTAATGATCTTCTGAAATTAATATGTATAGAATATTAATTTTCAATGTCATCCAAGTCTGAATCACTAACTTCACATGCAGAGGTGGGAAGTATAATTTTCAGGTATCTCTATTTTATGTAAGGAGTTTTTTCTGATCACCTTTTACTTTTACTCCATACTTTTATAAACAAACATCTGTACTTTCTACTCAACTTCAATTTTCAAAACAGGTTCATATTTTCATTTCATTTGTTTAGGCTAAAATCGGTTTGATGTTTTCTATCCCTCCTTCCGCAAAGTGCAGAAGCAAGTTTGGCACTGGGATTCCAGGTTCTTCTCTATCCATCATTCGTAATATGCAGCAAGCTTCCTACAACAGAGTTGCCAGTTTGTCTGCCAGAAGGGTTTATTACTACAAAGCAGTAATGAGCCCTTCTGGCACCAGGATTCCAGGTTCTCTTCCCTCTATCCCTCTTTCACAAAACGCAGCAGCATGCTTTTATTGGCACAGGGATGCCATGTTTTCTTCTCTATTCAATTCAATTTTATTTATATAGCGCCAAATTGCAACAACAGTTGCTTCAAGGCGCTTCATATTGTAAGTTAGACCCTACAATAATACATACAGAGAGAAAAAACCCTGTGAGCAAGCACTTTGGCGACAGCGGCAAAGAAAAACTTAGCCCACTGTTAGGGCCCACTCCGGCAGAACCAGGCTCAGGGAGGGGCGGGGCCATCTGCTGTTGGGGAGAGCGAAGGAGGACAGGATAAAGACATGCTGTGGGAAGAGAGACAGAGATTAATAACAAGTATGGTTCAGCAGAGAGGTCTGTTAACACATGTTGAGTGAGAAAGGTGCCTGAAAAGGAAATAATAAATGCCTCATGGGAATCTCCCAGCAGTCTACGTCTATTGCAGCATAACTAAGGGAGGATTCAGGGTCACCTGGTCCAGCCCTAACTATATGCTTTAGCAAAAAGGAAAGTTT